TTCAGTGGTCTTTTGTTACCTCCAATGGTTTTTAAAATGAAGTAGTACTCGTAATGTTAATGGGGGGCTGCTTTTCTTGAACTTAATGCAAATCTTTCATTGTTGCTTTGAAAATTATTATATATATTGTAAATGCATTTAGGCAATCAAGTGTGTTTTAGCAGCAAGACAAATTATTAGCGCTACTATTCATTGTAACGACGGCACACGGTGGCCCTGTCATTCAAGGCGGGGCAATTTGCTGTGCAGAGTTGTGTCTTTTAGTCACACCAATAAACTATGATCATGGGTTCGAATCCCAGCACCATACACATTGATCACTTAGGACTTTTCACCAATATCAAGGTGGCAGGTTGTGAAAAAACTGAAAAAATGTTAAAATTCAGGCCACATCGGCATAAACATCAGGTGATGTCCTCGAATGGGTCACTATGTTCGACAGTTTGGCTCCTGACAGAGTTTCTTGGTACAGACCTGTCCGACCCTGATGAATTTGTCCGACATCTGCCTCTGTTCAGCCAGCAGTTGATGGATACCAGGTAGAATGAGATGGTAATATCACTTAACCATCCAGCACCTCAAAGACAGTTTAGGTCGGCTTTGAGTGTGATATTCTTCTTGGGAAACTGCCATACATGGACTGTTATCATTATGATATTTAAAACGATGAAATCCATGCGATCTTTGGAGTGCCAGAAACCCTCCCTCCCTCACTCACTCTTCTCCACTCCATTCCACTCCGCTCCACTCCCATCCACGCTCACTCCACTCACTCACGAGTTAGGTAGCTTGGTAAATTAGCTAGGCATTTCTTTACAGTATGTGTTGTGATGTCTGTTTTTCAATTCTATTTGAATCCTATATAATTAATCCTGGACATGCCGTGATTCACAATATATCGATAATGATACTATACCCAGCGATACACATGTACTTGTATGGTTTGAAATATACACCTACTCAATCATAATAATTTTCAGCAAATTGGCCAGTTTGAATACACCCATTCCATTAACCAACGACTCTTAACCCAAAGACTTCACGGCCACATGTACGTTCATTTATTATTGTTCTGAGGGGCTATCTCAGCCCTTTAAAAACATCGAAAAAAATAATCATGCTTGTGATAGTTTTTAAATTCCGCCGTAACTAATAAAACGCGACATGCTACGCGACAATGCGACAACGCGACATTTTGATGAAATGTCGCGTTGTCGCATTGTCGAGTGTCGCGTGTCGCGTTTTATCGAATTTTAGGCTTTTTACACATCTTAGATAGGGCGACAATTGTCGCTATGTCGCATTGTCGCCCTTTGGAGGAATAGAAAAATATTATTCAAATCGCGACATGCGACATCGCGACAATGCGACAAATGGCCTTGTCGCATTGTCGCGCTTTGGTTCATTTTAACTCATTTTGCTTGTATTTCGAACAAATTCACTTGACCAGAGAAACACCACATGCATTGTATGTGCATCTATATTGGACAAGATTGTGCTTAGAAACTCTCTCAGGAGCCAGGCTGTGTAACATGGTCACCCATTGGAAGACTTCACCTGATGTTTATGCCGCTTACAACAATATTTCAGTTTTTACACAGCCTGTGAGCTCGATGTTGGAGGAATGCTCTTAGTGGTGATGACTATGATTATAGTTTCCTGGTGCGACTTAGAAACGCAACACTGCACAGCGATTTACCCCGCCTAAAAATCAGGGCCACCGTGTGCCGTCAATACAATGAATAGGAAGCGCAAAGAATTTGTCTTGATTGGCTAAATACACCGACATTTACAATGTATGAAATAATTCCTGTAGATATGGTGTTTACAGGACATGTACACGGACAAACTTAAAAGCTTACATAAAAAGCATAAAGATTTTAAATAACAAAGTAGAAGGAAGTTTCTTATCTGAGTGAATGAACGTGTGTTTATGACACACCCACAGAATGATGTTAGGCTGTCGTCCGTATTTATAAACATATTCAAGTTATCACAGACAATCGTTTTTACTGATTATACACACGGTGAAGTTGGTATTGTTAACTTAAAATGATATCATTTAGTTTAGTGCGATGTTAAATGTGTCTAATGGATAACCAGTTGCGAGTATGCCATGGATGTATATGTGGCAAGCGTGGCTTGACCAACGCGTAATATTAACATGTCTCCACGTTAATACTATCCCCCTTCTCTTAAACTTTCGTCCCGAAATTTGTATACACAAAATAATACCATCCATATTTACATTACGAGACATGGGTAACTTGAATATCTGGAGGGGCGGTGGGGTAGCCTAGTGGTTAAAGCGTCCGTTGGTCATGGCGAAGGCCAGGTTCCCCACATGGGTACAATGTTTGAAGCCCATTTCTGGTGTCCCCACTGTGTTATTGCTGGAATATTGCTAAAAGCGGCGTAAAACCATACTCACTCACTAATTGGAAAAGCTGGCAATGTCTCAGACTGAGTTGTAGGATGTTAACAGAGGATTCAGTGTGTTCCTCTGACTCTGACGTGGCAATCGTTTGCATGTGAGTGTAATATTCTCACGATAACAGTGAGATTTCTGAAGATAGGAGTGTTATACTGTGATCCTACACTCGGCAAGGCTTACAGATGTTGTTATCTACTGTGATCCTACACTCGGCAAGGCTTACAGATGTTGTTATCTACTGTGATCCTACACTCGGCAAGGCTTACAGATGTTGTTATCTACTGTGATCCTACACTCGGCAAGGCTTACAGATGTTGTTATCTACTGTGATCCTACACTCGGCAAGGCTTACAGATGTTGTTATCTACTGTGATCCTACACTCGGCAAGGCTTGCAGATGTTTGTTATCTACTATGATCCTACACTCGGCTTGAGGCTTGCAGATGTTGTTATCTACTATGATCCTACACTCGGCAAGGCTTGCAGATGTTGTTATCTACTGTGATCCTACACTCGGCAAGGCTTGCAGATGTTGTTATCTACTGTGATCCTACACTCGGCAAGGCTGACAGATGTTGTTATCTACTGTGATCCTACACTCGGCAAGGCTTGCAGATGTTGTTATCTACTGTGATCCTACACTCGGCAAGGCTTACAGATGTTGTTATCTACTGTGATCCTACACTCGGCAAGGCTTACAGATGTTGTTATCTACTGTGATCCTACACTCGGCAAGGCTTACAGATGTTGTTATCTACTGTGATCCTACACTCGGCAAGGCTTACAGATGTTGTTATCTACTGTGATCCTACACTCGGCAAGGCTTACAGATGTTGTTATCTACTGTGATCCTACACTCGGCAAGGCTTACAGATGTTGTTATCTACTGTGATCCTACACTCGGCAAGGCTTACAGATGTTGTTATCTACTGTGATCCTACACTCGGCAAGGCTTGCAGATGTTGTTATCTACTATTAACGAAGTAAGGGCTTAAAGAAAAAGAACCTAATCAATTTATAAAAGTCAAAAATGAAATTAATGAAAAATTAATTCAAGTGATTTTGTCTCGACGACATTCTACGAAGCGTATTTTGTTAGCTAGGGATTCCGCCGGTATCAGAGTATAGTTCAGAGCAAACTCTCAGTGGCGAAACGAAGTAGTACGATACAGGCAGGATATACAGTCTCCATTAAATAACACAGGTGAATATGCCTAGCAATGGGTCTCTATACCCTGTGTATACATTTGCAATAGCTGTTACGACAGGGAACGATCATATAAGTTTTTTCACAATGAGTACTGAAGTTTGATGCTTACATGTTCAAAATGGACAATAAAAAAATGTGAGCATGAAATGATAGAGTTTTTGATAACTTCCTGAAAGCTATTATCTATAGTGACGGTTATAGACCTACAAAGTATGAGAAACTTCCTTGAAATGACTAAGATCCTGCAGATAGCGTTGATCTGCACTAAATCAGTAAGAACCTAACCGATTTAAAAAAAACCAAACTGTGTCCATTTTCTCCATGTCAATAATATACATGAATTCATTGGTTTTATCAAAAAGGACAAATATTATTATTAATATGCTATCTGTATGTTATTAGTGGTATGTTAACGGATCCGGGGCGTGGTCGGGATGTCGGTATCGGCGATGTATAGATTGGCTATCTACGCTTGACTATGGGTGCAGTTCATTAAACATGCAACCAGTTCATTATGCATCCGTGTTGATGCCAGCCAGTAAAAACCGCAGGACACGTGTTAGATGCAACCGACCATTCAGTATAGTGACAATAATATACCTACTCGTCACGTGACTAAACATTATCACGAATATATATAAACGTCATTGCCCCGCGAGCTATCCCTACAGTCGACCGATAGTTTCAAGATGGAGTCACTGATCGCCTTCTTCCTCGTTGGTATGTACAGGTTTATATCATATTTAAACACCCAATCTACTGATATGTATTACAAGTCTCTCTAGCACATCACGACATTTATTAAATACCTGTTAATACCAATTAAATGTTTATCCACCCGTTTATTTTCTGTATTTGAGTATACATATCAACATAGTTTTGTCACCTGTTGTAACCCACTGTGCAGTGTTACAGAGTGTCTAGTATGATCTCAGAATACGATAATCTCAGATTTTTTGAATAAGTGAGTGGGTGGGTACGGTTTTATGCAATATTTAGCAATATTCCAGCACTATTACCGCGGGGATGTCATGTGGGGAATCGAACCCGGGTCTTCGGCCTGAGGAGCGAACGCTTTAACCACTAGCCCCAAGTAGACTACCCCACCGCCCAACTTGACATGATGTGATCACAGAACTGTGTGGTTTTGTGATATTTGTGACCTATATTAAGATCGTAACTCATCTTAATCATGTAGTTAATTACGACGCCATGGTTCGATATATATCACGCTCATGTATACTTATTATTCCTTTAAAAAAAGCGAAATTGAAATCTAAACATGTTTTTTTCTGCTTCCAGTATTCGCATTGATAAACCTGGGAATAAGCCCAGCTATGGCGGCCTCAGGTAAATTACTTACTTCACAGTTGTATGGAGAAGACTAGCTCATATTATATGTAAATATCTTTGACATACTGCATAATTAAATGATAAATATAAATATTAGAGGTTAAAGGATACCAATTAGGGTGAAGTTGTCACCTGAGTTCCTAGGTGTTGTTACCTGAGATTCCAGGTGTTGTTACCTGAGATTCCAGGTGTTGTTACCTGAGATTCCAGGTGTTGTTGACCAGGTGTTGTTACCTGAGTTCCCAGGTGTTGTTACCTGAGCTTCCAGGTGTTGTTACCTGAGCTTCCAGGTGTTGTTACCTGGGTTCCCAGGTGTTGTTACCTGAGCTTCCAGGTGTTGTTACCTGAGTTCCCAGGTGTTGTTACCTGAGATTCCAGGTGTTGTTACCTGAGATTCCAGGTGTTGTAACCTGAGATTCCAGGTGTTGTAACCTGAGATTCCAGGTGGTTAGAGAGCCTAGTGACCCACCTGTGTTGTATCAGTGAATATTTTTGGGAATACTCACAGTTGAACCCGGACGTCGTGTTAGTTCAGATGAGATCAACACAAACCTATCTGAAGGCCAGTGATTGGCACAGGTGTCAAGCTGAAAGGCAAACTGTAGGTGAAGGAAAGCTACGAATATTACTGCAAGGCATATTCATCCTTGCGATAATGTTTAAATGGTGTGACAGATTGATCGATGAATTAATTTCTAACCCGATCTTATTGTAGCGAGGACACACATCTAAGTGAACACTGATGTGATCATTTATATTGAAGTCATTTGTAAATGTTTGCAGGCAGGTGTGGGAGATTGACCTCTGGGCCCAGGTCACAGCCAATATCATTCTGTCAATAACATGGAGTATGTCTGAGGTCGCTCGTTTGACGAGTGGGTAATTATACAGTGGCTGATGAACTTGTCAACAAACGTCTGGTATTTGGCTGCTGTTGTGGATCCTTATTTTGATCGTGTGATATAACCGACAAAACTTCAAAAAGACCGAATAAAATGGCGGTGAAGGTGTAATGACGATGCATGTAAATAATTCCGGCGTGGAAAACCTTATCGATGTGCGCAGGCATTGTCATTATTGAGTTCAATATTTGTGGATGTACTGCCATACTGAGTCTCGGTATAGTAGTGTAACGAATAATACCGAGCCTTAGTTCACTTAGACTGATTTTAGTCCATATCGTAGAGCATTATTGATGTAATAGGACGATCTTGTATTTCTGCCTTGTAAGGCCTGCCACTCCCAGTTCTCACTGCAGCCTCGCTATTTGACAGCCTGTGTCCCACAGCCGAGAAAGTACACCTTTTATTTGCATAATCTCTTGTTTAGTTATTCACCAACTTGTGTCTGTCTTTCAGAGCCCGAGAGCTCCGCCGCCACGCAAGGCTTCTCCGTCCTTCTGGGGTCCTTGGCGATGGTGCTGGGCTATGTCGTGGCGAAGTAACCAGTGAACACCATGACGTCAGCTGACCAGGATCCGCAGACGGACACAAGGCAACAAAACCGGAAATACCGATTGTGGACAAACTGTTCGTCATAACATGCAATCTGCTGTTTTATCACGTGTATTCTTCGAGTCTAAAATACTTTTCTGACAGAATTTAAAAGTTACGTTGTCAACTTGAATATCATAAATAAATCTGATATCTGAAGACTATATTGTTTATCATTTCTTTATCTCTTGTGCGCTCTTGACACTTGCACTGTTATTGAGTGAAGAATGGTGTTACGTCCTGGCAATCTTTGAATGAGTGAGTGAGTGAGTGAGTGGGTGAAGGGGTGGGTGAGTGGGTGAGTGAAGGGGTGGGTGAGTGAGTGAGTTAGTGGGTGAAGGGGTGGGTGAGTGAGTGAGTTAGTGGATGAGTGGGTGAGTGGGTGAAGGGGTGGGTGAGTGAGCTTAATGGCGGTGCGTGGTCCTGTGCATGGAGCTGAGGTCACAAATAACTTGCAGTTAGTAACGCTGGGTGCGGAGAGTCCTTGGATGGGTGACCGTGACACCTGAGAGTTTCTAGGACTTCAGTCTTGCCCCACAACGAAGCACATGCGATCCATGTGGCCTCACCTTAGGCAAGTGAGTTTGTTCAAAATTGTCTCTGTTCAACCAGCTGAAAATGGGTACCCGGTGGGATAGTCTAACAGGCAGCTCGGGTTGTCTGGGGTAAGAATGCGTTAGCGCTTTGAGCGTGCACAAGTGTGTGGAAACACGCGCTTTATAAATGGCCTTTTATTTTTATTAATATAAAACAAGAATAGTTAAGGTTGGAATAAGTCCCGTTGTATAAAGCCGCCATTAGCTCATGAGAGAACATTGTCCCGGTTGTTTTGTTCATCCAAACTCTTTAGTTAATTAAAGAGACAACAGCTGAAAAAACGTGGCGGAACAACTAAATGTTTCATCAGGAACATGTCAAGATGCCGATCACAGCAACTCGTTATTAGTCAGTTAATTTTATAAATGTATTTACATAGCTGTACTTAAGACCTAATACATCCCACTTAGTGCATACTGCTACCATTTCATGTCTCAAGTCAGTCAATGAGGTCAAATTTGGTGTTGATCACCAGTCCGAGTACAAAAATCTGGTCATATCACTGTAACTTCAGCCTCCCACCGACCACTGTACTCCTTCAGCCTATCCCACCGACCACTGTACTGCTTCAGTCAATCCGACCGACCATTGTACTGCTTCAGTCCATCCCAACGACCACTGTACCGCTTCAGCCTATCCCACCGACCACTGTAACTTCAGCCTATCCCATCGACCACTGTAACTTCAGCCTATCCCACCGACCACTGTACTGCTTCAGTCCATCCCACCGACCACTGTACTGCTTCAGTCCATCCCACCTGACCACTGTACTGCTTCAGTCCATCCCACCGACCACTGTACTGCTTCAGTCCATCCCACCGACCACTGTAACTTCAGCCTATCCGACCGACCACTATACTGCTTCAGTCCATCTGACCGACCACTGTACTGCTTCAGTCTATCCCACCGACCACTGTACTGCTTCAGTCCATCTGACCGACCACTGTACTGCTTCAGTCCATCGAACCAACCACTGTACTGCTTCTTCAGTCCATCCAACCAACCACTGTACTGCTTCAGTCCATCCGACCGACCACTGTACTGCTTCAGTCCATCCAACCGACCACTGTACTGCTTCAGTCCATCGGACCGACCACTGTACTGCTTCAGTCCATCCCACCCACCACTGTACTGCTTCAGTCCATCCGACCGACCACTGTACTGCTTCAGTCCATCCAACCAACCACTGTACTGCTTCAGTCCATCTGACCGACCACTGTACTGCTTCAGTCCATCCGACCAACCACTGTACTGCTTCAGTCCATCTGACCGACCACTGTACTGCTTCAGTCCATCCAACCAACCACTGTACTGCTTCAGTCCATCTGACCGACCACTGTACTGCTTCAGTCCATCTGACCGACCACTGTACTGCTTCAGTCCATCTGACCGACCACTGTACTGCTTCAGTCCATCTGACCGACCACTGTACTGCTTCAGCCTATCCCACCGACCACTGTACTGCTTCAGCCTATCCCACCGACCACTGTACTGCTTCAGCCTATCCCACCGACCACTGTACTGCTTCAGTCCATCCCACCGACCACTGTCCTGCCTCAGTCTATCCCACCGACCACTGTACTGCTTCAGTCTATCCCACCGACCACTGTACTGCTTCAGCCTATCCCACCGACCACTGTACTGCTTCAGTCCATCCCACCGACCACTGTACTGCTTCAGTCCATCCCACCGACCACTGTACTGCTTCAGTCCATCCGACCGACCACTGTACTGGTTCAGTCCATCCCACAGACCACTGTACTGCTTCAGTCCATCCGACCGACCACTGTCCTGCTTCAGTCCATCCGACCGACCACTGTACTGCTTCAGTCCATCTGACCGACCACTGTACTGCTTCAGTCCATCCGACCGACCACTGTACTGCTTCAGTCCATCCGACCGACCACTGTACTGCTTCAGTCCATCCGACCGACCACTGTCCTGCTTCAGTCCATCCGACCGACCACTGTCCTGCTTCAGTCCATCCGACCGACCACTGTACTGCTTCAGCCTATCCCACCGACCACTGTACTGCTTCAGTCCATCCGACTGACGACTGTACTGCTTCAGTCCATCCGACTGACGACTGTACTGCTTCAGTCCATCCGACCGACCACTGTCCTGCTTCAGTCCATCCGATTGACCACTGTCCTGCTTCAGTCCATCCACCGACCACTGTACTGCTTCAGTCCATCCGACTGACCACTGTACTGCTTCAGTCCATCCGACCGACCACTGTACTGCTTCAGTCCATCCGATTGACCACTGTACTGCTTCAGTCCATCCGACTGACCACTGTACTGCTTCAGTCCATCCGACCGACCACTGTCCTGCTTCAGTCCATCCGATTGACCACTGTACTGCTTCAGGCCATCCACCGACCACTGTACTGCTTCAGTCCATCCGACCGACCACTGTACTGCTTCAGTCCATCCGACTGACCACTGTACTGCTTCAGTCCATCCGACCGACCACTGTCCTGCTTCAGTCCATCCGGCCGACCACTGTCCTGCTTCAGTCCATCCGACCGACCACTGTACTGCTTCAGTCCATCCGACTGACGGCTGTACTGCTTCAGTCCATCCGACCGACCACTGTACTGCTTCAGTCCATCTGACCGACCACTGTACTGCTTCAGTCCATCCGACTGACGACTGTACTGCTTCAGTCCATCCGACCGACCACTGTACTGCTTCAGTCCATCCGACCGACCACTGTACTGCTTCAGTCCATCCGACCGACCACTGTCCTGCTTCAGTCCATCCGACTGACGACTGTACTGCTTCAGTCCATCCGACCGACCACTGTACTGCTTCAGTCCATCCGACTGACGACTGTACTGCTTCAGTCCATCCGACCGACCACTGTACTGCTTCAGTCCATCCGACTGACGACTGTACTGCTTCAGTCCATCCGACCGACCACTGTACTGCTTCAGTCCATCCGACTGACGACTGTACTGCTTCAGTCCATCCGACTGACGACTGTCCTGCTTCAGTCCATCCGACAGACCACTGTACTGCTTCAGTCCATCCGACTGACGACTGTACTGCTTCAGTCCATCCGACAGACCACTGTACTGCTTCAGTCCATCCGACCGACCACTGTACTGCTTCAGTCCATCCGACAGACCACTGTACTGCTTCAGTCCATCCGACTGACGACTGTACTGCTTCAGTCCATCCGACTGACGACTGTCCTGCTTCAGTCCATCCGACTGACCACTGTACTGCTTCAGTCCATCCGACCAACCACTGTACTGCTTCAGTCCATCCGACCGACCACTGTAGTCTCTCAGCTCATCGGACTGACCAACTCCATACGGTTAGTCTCAGACCTTGCTAGCAATTCCTATTATGCTGATATCATCGATTCGCCATAGACAAATTGTATTTTTATAGATTA